TTACAGCTTAGGGCTTCGGGTTTAGGGTTTAGGGTTTAGGGTTTAGGAGTTTAGGGTTTAGGAGTTAGGGTTTCGGGTTTAAGTAGGGTTTGGGGTTCAGGGTGCGGGGTTCGGGGTTCAGGGTTCACGGTTCAGTTCTTCTTTGTAAGCATTCCTACGTCCACTAAACCGTAACCCCTAAACGACCCTGAACCCTAAGCCCTAAACCCTAAGCCCCAAACCCTCAGCCCTAACTCTAAGCCATAGACTCAGCCAGTGCCTTGGGCAATGGAGCTGGGCTCCAAACTCCAAATCCAAGCTTTGGGGTTTAGGGTTTAGGGTTTATAGGGTTTATAGGGTTTATAGGGTTTATAGGGTTTATAGGGTTTATAGGGTTTATAGGGTTTATGGGGGTTTATAGGATTTATAGGGTTTAGGGTTTAGTTTCAGCTCAGTGGCGAAGAGCCCTCGATCTCACAGCACCCCAAAAGCCCGGAAACCATACTCTAGAACCTAGCTAGGAATAAAGAGGGTACCCTTTTTGGGGTTAAAGGGGCCTAAAACAAGGAATAAGGGTCTGCTCTTGGTCCTAGCACTACATTCAGGGTACCCCTTGTAGTGTTGGTTACGTTTATAAGAAAAGGGCAAATGGGTACTGCTCAGCTGCCACGCAAAATCCCTAAACCCTAAACCCCTAAACCCCTAACCCCTAAACCCTGAACCCTAAACCCTGAACCCTAAACCCATAAGGACTCAGCGCCCTGCGCCCACCCTGGTCTGCGGACCGTCTTCAAGGTATCTTTTGGTGTCCTCCTCCCTGCATCCTGACCCCTAAAACCCCTTTAAAAAACCGTGGGGAAAAAACTAAAACCGAAAAAGCACCTAACACCCTAAACCCCCCAAAACCCCCAAAACTGAAACCCTAAACGCCCGTGGGCCCTAAGCCAAGCAGCTCGAAGTAGCACTCGTCGACTAACACGCCGATATTCGGGCACTTCCGAAGCACCTGCGGCCCTAAACCCTAAACCCTAAACCCGAAACCCTCAGCCCTAAACCCGAAACCCTAAACCCTAAACCCCAAACCCCAAACCCTAAACCCTGAACACTAAACCCTCAGGGTTTAGGGTTTAGGGTTTAGGGTTTAGGGTTTAGGGTTTAGGGTTTAGGGTTTAGGGTTTAGGGTTTAGGGTTTAGGGTTTAGGGTTTAGGGTTTAGGGTTTAGGGTTTAGGGTTTAAGGGCTTAAGGGCTTCAGTGTTTAAGGGTTTAAGGGTCTTAAGGGTTCCAGGGCTTTGCTTTGTACTCGATCTCCGGAATCCAAACTGGGAAGATCTCAGCCCTCCGTCCTTCAGAACCCTACACAGCCTACACCCGTAAACCCACTGAGCCCGTCAAACCCCAAATCCCAAACACATGGAACCCGAAAAGTCTCTAAACTTATGGAACCCTCAACCCAAAGCAACGCAAAACATCAACGAAACCGTAAATCTTACAATGTTCAGAACAAAGGACAGCCGGACGAGCCTCCAGTATCGCGCCCCTTGGGATCTCAGTGCCCGTCGGGTTGTTCGGGTTGCCTGGGGAGTGGCATCGGGAGTGTTAGGGTTTGGGGTTTAAGCTTTAGGGTTTAGGGTTTAGGGTTTAGGGTTTAGGGTTTAGGGTTTAGGGTTTAGGGTTTAGGGTTTAGGGTTTAGGGTTTAGGGTTTAGGGTCCCTGCATCACTCGAAGATCGCGGCACACTGCCAGCACTTTCCACACTTAGCCCGAAATGTGACATGGTAGGCGCTGCTGCTCTTAAGAGCAGACAGCCTCAAACCGCAACGTGCTAAACCCTAAACCCTGAAACTGACCCTCTAACCATAAAACCTAGAGCCCCCAACCCTGAAACCCTGAAACCCTGAAACCCTGAAACCCTGAAAACCCTGAAACCCTGAAACCCCTAAAACCCACTCCAAACCATGCTACCTTGTTTGGGTGGGGTTTAGGGTTTAGGGTTTAGTGTTTAGGGTTTAGGGTTTTGGGTTTAGGGTTTAGGGTGTAGGGTTTACGATTGGCAGGGCCAGGACATTACTAGTTTAGAAGGGGTTCGAGCAACCAGACAAAACCACACCCGCCCAGAGGGTCCCATAACATTACGAAAATATAGAGTTTCTATTTTTTATCGTACGCAGCTTTTCATAAACCCTCGCTTCGCACCCATTTGTTCCAAAAGCTCTCCAAAGCCCCCAAAAGAAATACAATAAGGAAAAGCCAAACAGAAAAACGAGACCTCCTGAACCCTTAACATTAGACCCCAGAAGATTTTTTTGGACCTCGGGAGGCTCCCAGAAGCTCAAGGAGGCCCCCAGAAGCTCCCCCAGGCACCCAAACGAAACAAAACAATAAAAAACCAAGAAAAATGAAGAAAATTGCAGAAATTGAGATTCCTGAACCCTTAACATTAGACCTCAAAAGAGTTTTCTGGACCCGGGAGGCTCCCAGAAGCTCAAGGAGGCCCCCAGAAGCTCCCCCAGGCACCCAAACGAAACAAAAACAATAAAAAACCAAGAAAAATGAAGAAAATTACAGAAATTGAGATTCCTGAACCCTTAACATTAGACCCCAGAAGAGTTTTTTGGACCGGGAGGCTCCCAGAAGCTCAAGGAGGCCCTCAGAAGCTTTTTCCAGGCACCCAAACGAAACAAAAACAATAAAAACCAAGAAAAATGAAGAAAATTACAGAAATTGAGATTCCCGAACCCTTAACATTAGACCCCAGAAGAGTTTTTTGGACCTCGGGAGGCTCCCAGAAGCTCAAGGAGGCCCCCATAAGCTCCCCCAGACACCCAAACCAAGAAAAATGAAGAAAATTACAGAAATTTGAGATGCCTGAACCCTTAACATTAGACCCCAGAAGATTTTTTTGGACCTCGGGAGGCTCCCAGAAGCTCAAGGAGGCCCCCAGAAGCTCCCCCAGACACCCAAACGAAACAAAAACAGTAAAAACCAAGAAAAATGAAGAAAATTACAGAAATTTGAGATGCCTGAACCCTTAACATTAGACCCCAGAAGATTTTTTTGGACCTCGGGAGGCTCCCAGAAGCTCAAGGAGGCCCCCAGAAGCTCCCCCAGGCACCCAAACGAAACAAAAACAATAAAAAACCAAGAAAAATGAAGAAAATCACACACATTAGACCCCAGAAGAGTTTTTTGGACCCCGCGAGGCTCCCAGAAGTTCAAGGAGGCCCCAGAAGCTCCCCCAGGCACCCAAACGAAACAAAAACAATAGAAAACCAAGAATATGAAGAAAATTACTTAAATTGAGATTCCTGAACCCTTAACATTAGGCCCCAGAAGAGTTTTTTGGAACCCCGGGGAGGCTCCCCACCCCACCCTCGCACCAAACCCATTTGACCCATTTGCCTAAATCGACGAAGGACTTGATCGGCGAAGGGCTTGCCTTATTCGACGAAGGACTTGGCTTATTCGACGAAGGACTTGGCTTATTCGACGAAGGACTTGGCTTATTCGACGAAGGACTTGGCTTATTCGACGAAGGAATTGGCTTATTCGACGAAGGACTTGGCTTATTCGACGAATTCATTAGGGTTTAAATATATATATATATATATATATATGAAGAGAGGTTTAGGGTTTATGGTTTAGGGTTTAGGGTTTAGGCTTTAGGGTTTAGGGTTTGGGGTTTACGGCTTAGGGTTTAGGGTTTAGGCTTTAGGGTTTAGGGTTTAGGGTTTAGGGTTTAGGGTTTACGGCTTAGGGTTTAGGGTTTAGGGTTCAGGGTTTGCAGTGCACGCCCTGATAGCTTTGGGGTTCAGGTTTTATGGCCTGGGCGCCAGAATTCCAAAGAAGACCTCGACAGCGTCAACCAAAATCATGGGTTCCCCGATCCCTGTATTTGTGGGGGAACCCAGAGGCTGTAGTGTGGGGTAGAGGGGAACCCATGACCCTAAACCCTAAACCCTAAACCCTATACCCTATACCCTATACCCTATACCCTAAACCCTAAACCCTAAACCCCTACACCCTTAAACCCCTAAACTTCATCAAGTCTCAAGAGAACTGCCCGCGCGAAATGCAAGGAAGTCGCTAAGAACGATGAGCGACGTGTTCTGGTTGACCATGGACAGCACCTGAAACCCTGAACCCTGAACCCTAAACCCTAAACCCTAAACCCTAAACCCTAAACCCTAAACCCTAAACCCTAAACCCTAAACCCTAAACCCTAAACCCTAAACCCTAAACCCTAAACCCTAAACCCTAAGCCCTAACCCCTGAGCCACAGGGCATCAGAGGGATGTTGCAGTTGCAAGTTGCAGTTGCAGTGTCCGAGGGTTGAGGGTTTGGGGAATAGGGCTGAGTTGTTTGAAAGTAGTTTCTCTGAGATTTTGGCACATCCATTGAAACTTTCGACATCTCTTGCGCAAGTCTATGCTCTTTTCCTGCTGAATTCTAAATACCGCAGAGACATGACTAATTGACTTCAACTGGACCTGGAATGTGCTTCACAAGCTTTTGGACGCGACCTTGAAACTATTTCTTACGCAAGCCCATGTCATGTTTCTGTTCTGCTTGTATATCGAAGATATGACCAACCAACCAAGGTTTAGGGTTTAGGGTTTAGGGTTTAGGGTTTAGGGTTTAGGGCTTAGGGCTTAGGGCTTAGGGCTTAGGGCTTAGGGCTTAGGGCTTAGGGCTTAGGGTTTCGGGGTTTCGGGGTTTAGGGCAGTTTAGGGGTTTAGGGGTTTAGGGGTTTAAGGGTTTAGGGGTTTAGGGGTTTATAGGGGTTTAGGGGTTTAAGGGTTTAGGGGTTTAGGGGTTTAGGGGTTTAGGGGTTTAGGGGTTTAGGGGTTTAGGGGTTTAGGGGTTTAGGGGTTCAGGGGTTTAGGGGTTTAGGGGTTTAGGGTTTGGGGTTTCGGTTTTAGGGTTTAGGGTTTTTGGTTTAGCTTCTGACTTCTGAATGATGATTATCGCCATGTTCATGGGCAGGAACTGAAACGGCTGGGCAGGCTACCCCTCTTCTGGG